TACAAGTTTTAAACATACTATTTCTGGTGATAATGGAAAGACTCTATAAAAAGAGGAAAAAAACTTATGGTCACATTCTGGCATGTTCCAAAACAGAAGTCTGCATTAACCATTGCTCAACAGCTCAAAACTAGCAAAGCTGAAAAATGCCATTCCCTGTAGTTGGCACAGCAAGAAGTAACAACAGTACTTTTTATGCGAAACATGCCTGTTTGTATTCTCGCAGACACTAAGGGCACGCATTCATCAAAAATTATTATAGATAGGGAAAGATCTAAACACGCCCACCATGTTTTCACTGACATTATCACTGTGGAAGTGTAAGATTTTCTAAGGCCGTTACTACTTTTTCAAAGAAATAGCAAAAATTTTTGCTTTCTGGAGCACTTAGCATGATCATTTTCTCATTTTTGCTTTGTGCTTTCTGAGTAGTTCCATAATATATAATAAACTAAGCATGACATAAAGGGATGTAATTTACAACCCAAATGCATGTGCATAACCATTTTCTTTTGAAAACAGTATGTAAACTGCAGAGCAGTGATTGTTTTAGATATTCTACTGCTGCCATTAAGTCATCTGTGAGCGACTCAGCTTTAGTAATATTTCAGTATATAATTATTGCGTGTGTGTGTGTCATCCCACTTTGGCAGCTATGAAGTAAAGAGTTTGTTGTCTAGCAAGTTTCTCTCTGCTCCCTAATTTCAGATGTAGCAAACCCGGTAAGGCTGCAGCACTCCGGCACTGTACTTATCTGTGCTTTCCGATAGCCGAGCAAACTGGATGACTGAAGAAGGGTGGGTTTGCGTTTTTAGGATAGTTTTGAGCTTGAATATAATTTTACTCATTTGGCAGATTATCTTCTTCAGATGTTGTCGCAGTATCAGTGGGCACCTACTTTGAACTTCACTTGTACAATTCTGAGGCACCTTGTCTATACTGAAATGCAAGTTTCGTAAGCAGGGTAAGTTCTCTGGGAGCTTCTGTGGGTGTTTGGTGTAGGTGTGATGCTTTTGTAGAGAGTGAAATCTTCAAGAGACAAAGACTAAACCTATCTTTCAACTGGAGAATGCTTTTCTGTTGTGCTTGTTTCTGGTTTTCTAATTTATAAATCTGTCTTTTTCCTGAGCCATACCACACTAACTCCTTGGGCATTCAGAAGTGAAGAAAGATAGACCTAATTTCATTTGTATTTTCAGCCTGATGCACTGTTACACTCCCTAATTTCTGTGCCAAGGGGATCCAAAATATACTATCATACAAGCTAAACTTAAATAATACATTTACCTTCCACTGAAAGTTTCACTTACTGTAGTGACTGTTGAAAGTAAAATACCTAGCCTAGTAGAATAGTTTTTATTTCAACTCAGTAAAATCTCTTTTTTTTTTTTTTATTTAATTCAGAGATAGGCAGGTAAATAATCTTAAAGTATTTTCCTCAGGGAAAAACACTGCTTTTCACAAAGTCTTTTTAAAATTTCTGTTAGTAAAAACCTTCATAGGAAAGAACAAATTTCTCACCAAGAAGAAATTTACTTTCTGATAGCACCTGATGTCTACTAATGCCCCTTAGAAGTTTAAAAACCTTACAGAAAGATGAAACACTTTCTATCAAGTGTAACTTTCTGCTGATAGGATTCATATACCATAAATAACGCACAAAAGTAAAAATGAAGGTTTATCGTCTTTCCCCTCGGGGAGGGGATTTCTTTTTTATGAGCTAGTAAGAATTAGGTTGTAGGTGCTGGAAAGCATTGTGGTCTGTGCTCTGGATGTTTGAAGGATCCTGTGAATGAAACAGCTATTGGTGGTCACTTCCACTCCTCTGCCCCTAAGGAAGAAAAGACTTTTGACACATGATATCACCGCTGAGTGTTTCTTCTGATTTGTAGGATTCTCTCTTTAGCCACTTTGTTTATAGTGCTATTGAGCTATAGAGATATAGATATGTATGATTTTTCTTGTTCTCACATGAGGTGAGTCTGTGATAGTGTGTAAAGTGCTGCTTACTGTAGGAGTGGTGGACTCCTGTTCTCCATTACAGATAAATGCCCTTTTCTTGTCCCCAGCACACTGGAGATGAGATAACAAGTCCTCAATGTCCTCAGAATCAAAGTAATTCTTAATACTATCAATCAATGCAGTATTTTTGTCTCACTGCCCGTTTCAAATAAGCCACTTCTTTGATGGCCTGTAAGTAACAATTAACTAAATAATGGGAGTAGAAAATAGTTATAACAAAAGAAGACACTCCATATCGGGTTATGTAAGCTACACTACTTATGATTTGACATTCTTCAGGCTGTTGCACTATTTTTCTCTATATGTCACAGATTACAGAAAATGATAGTGTACTGGAAGATGATGATGAAAGCCCTAGCTTAGTTTTCATCTAAGTATGCAGTTAATCGTGATTGAAAATTAGAAACAGACGCTACCTCAGCACTGTAGCAAAGTGGTACTTCTATTGTGCCTGCAGTTATTTACCTGTGCAGACTCTGAGATCTTGTTTAAAATAGTCTTTGTAGCTGAGACTGCACAGGCAAATCTCCTATGTGCTTTTGAAAGCTGTAGTCCATACACACAAAAGTGAATCTTTCCTCTTTTTCCTTCCCAAATTGTTTCCTTAAATCACTGATGGTTCAGTAGTCCTTCATCATCCAATACAACTTCAGCGCTATCTTTGACTATTTTCATCTCTCTGACATGATGTAGCCTGCTCTCGAGTCATTGCTAAAATCTCTGCAGTGAAAACTGGCTGCAGATGGGGCTTTGACTTGCTCCCCCTGCAGATGGCCCACACAGAAATGTGTTGCTATATCTGAGCAGCTCCAGTATTGCTCACAAATGAGAGGCTCTTCTTTAGAGATTTTTAACCTTGGTCTTTATTTTGCCAGCTCTTCCTACCACTCATTCTGAGCCCTCCAACTTCATATACCTACCAGCTGCACCTCTTTCAACTTGGCAACTCCTTTTGCTGACACGCTTTTTGACTTATTAATCTGTTTCCAACTATTCTCTTCCTTTAAAGTCACTTCTTTTGTGAAGCTATTTAATGCCCATCTCCATCTTATTCTAGTCCCCTTATATTTGATTTATGTCAAGTATCACATCTGCATCTTCCTCTGGATGGGAAATGTCTTTACTCATAAACTGCTGTTTACTCTTTAAGTACTTGGTAAAAAGTAAGTAGCAGAATTATTTATGAACTAAGCAAGACAACAGTCATTTGTTTTAGCTGTGTTAAGATTAAATGTTTATCAGTGTATTCAGTGATAGAACATGTGTATGAAGACTACATGAATTGCATTTTCAAAGGCATAGACAAAGCCCTTTTCCTACCTCGAATATGTAATATCCAAATTAAGTTCTTTTGTGCATTTACTGCAGTGAAAGCTACGGTGTACTTTGTATGCAAGTGTACTAAGTAAATCATATTTGCCCTTCATAAATTATTTCTATGAAAGTTGTGATATGAATTCTTAGGAAATGCATCCAGACTAGCCATCTTTCTGAGTTGCACTAGCGTGAACATGTCTACCAATGGTAAAAAACACAATAAAAATTTATTTTCAAGCTTGTTTTTTTAAGTCAGCCTTTTCAAGGTAAGGAGTAGTTTCCAATATTTCAGATTTCTATCCCATTTAGTGACAAGAAATTACAGCTGCACTTACATGTGTTTGGGCCCTGTAAATTCTCGGTTCTCTGTACTTGGGATTGAAAATTTCCCATAATTAAACATTTGCTGTTTATGCATTAATAGATTTTCGTTCAAATATCAATGTATTTTATATGCCTCTCATCTCTCATACCAGGTGTCATGTCTTTTCAAACACGCTTCACAATCTGCTTTCCATATCTTGATATTCCCTTAATGAAGAAATTCTAGTGCTAAGGCACATTGACAACACTGTGACAGGAGTAGAAAGTTTGTGTGTACATTTGTAACATTAAGGAAAGTGGAGGTAGGAGAGGAAAAATGTGTAGTTCATTTTGTTCAAACTTGCAGGCAAGTGATTTTTATTCATTTGTCCTTGGGTATGGAGGGCACTCCCCTGATTTCCCTGAGAATGGGTCCATGATCTCGTAAAACTTAACTATTTTTACATTCAGAGAATTTTAAAGTATCCTAAATTCACCTTCTTGCTTTCAAATTATCCTTGGTGACTTAAAATCATGCCCTTGAGTATTACATTGAGAAATAGGAAGATAGTTACTCATTATTACTTACAGAATTCACGTTGTGGGTGTTTATAAGCAGATAACATGCATTAAATGTGTCATGTAGTGGTGATTCTTCCCATCCAGTAGAGTCATGATTTTTTTCTTTTTCCCTGAAGAAAAGTTGAGAAATGTCACCAGGACACACAAGTCCTTGATGTTCTCCATGTGATTGTTTGTTTAGCTGAGCTCAGCCTGGGCATCGTATTCAGAGTCTGTCTGTTGCTTCTGTTACTCTAATGCAGTGAAAAGTTTCAGAGCTTTTTCTGTGCTCCCTACCCTTCATGTCTGGAACCTTCTTTCACACATTGTATCTGCTGCACAGATCTTCCTGAAATTTACCACTTTTCTGAAGTTATCTTGGATAAGAGTGGACTACTTATATTAACTGTAAATATGCACAAACTTTAGGGCTACTTATAAAAGTCATTGTGCTCTTTTTGTTTCTCAAAATAATGTATACTGTCATTGTGATTGACAGACTACCTTCAGATTAATTTAGGCGTATGCTTGAATTCATGGTTCTCCTGGATTTATTGTATCACTTTTAATGGCACTTTTTTTAGAATGTAATTTAATCTGTCATGAATATAACCCTCCAGCCTTGACACATAAAATGATGTGTATGTGCTTAATAACTGAAAAATGAAAAACTTAAAAAAAAAAAATCAAGATTTGTGTGCTTACATGTGAAGAGACTGTAAATAGGCAATTTGGTCATTATACTTTCTTCAAATGAGCAGGAGTTAAGTAACTGTGAATATATCTACTGCAGAAACATGATTAAAGATAACAACGAAACTATTCCACTAATGGGCAAGAAAACAAATCCATCTGGTATTCCCCCTTCAAACCAGCAAGAGAAAAAACCAAGTGAAAGCACTCCCACAAAGAAAAGGTAGGACTCTAGCTCAGCCTAAATCACTAAAACTCCATTTTATCTCCTTTAGTAGATATTTGCACTGAAATATCACTAACACCTTTATTCATGCTGCATAGATGAATGAGAGACCTGGTGAACACAAGGTGCCTTCAAAAAAAATACGCTTATGCTGTTTAGAAGTGGAAGAGTATCCTGGTTAGGTAGACATATGATGTGTTTACCCTAATGGGACAAATATTTAACCCCTATCCTAGAGACACCAGACTCATGCACCAGTCTTTTAAGTTTGTGTCTCATATCATTTGGGCTTTCTGCATCCACTCTATACAACTGTATAAGCTTACAAGAGTGTGGTCTAATGATGGTCAGTGTTTCAGTAGGAGAAGGTAGAGTGATCCTTTTAAAAGAGATCGTGTGGCAGGGTACACCAGGTTTTATGTAAGAGATCCTGGCCTAAAAAAAGGGAACATTTCAAACTTAGCCTCACATGGGAATGTGACAGATTATGGAGAGCTAGAGGTGAATTTAAAAATGAGGGCTGGGAGAGCAGGAGGTTTGAAAAATCCTATCACAAACAGAAACCTCTATTTTTCATTATTCTGATTAACAAGACTTCATTATTTTATAAAATATTCACTTTCATTCACAATTTATGCTAGAGAATTAATAAAAGGATTAAGGGTTTGTATTTAATATGAATGGGGAAATGTAAGCAGTAATTCATTCCTGATACTATGCTATTCAAGTCAACTAAGTTACTGTAGAGTGAGGATGAATTTTCATTCATAAACTTTTCACTCTGTGGCTAATTACTAGCAGCTATGGCAAATTTTGAAACTCTGAAGGTCTAGGCAATTGTGGCTGTTCTGACACTTTTAAATCTTAATAATCAGAGGAATCACTTTCCACAGAAATGGTGCCATTAGTTATTTGAGACCCACTGCCTGGGTGGCCCAATTTGTCTTTCTGTCATTAAATTCAGAGAGAAGCTCTTTGGTTGCAGAAAGGGGAGATGAGGTGTTTGAACAGCTCAAAATACACCCAGTACTTCAATTAGGGGCAATTCCATGGAAGACTGTGTAGTTACAACAAATACTGGCAAACACTACCCCTCAATTACTTAAGCTCATATCTCACATTCAGTTTTGTGGCATCAGTAACAGTAACCTTGGGGTTTTTCCCACCTCTCAACCAAGAGCTCAGGGTGTGGCCAACAACATTCCTGTAATATAAGGAACAAAGATCACGTGAATTTTAATGCAGAGGTTTAACGTGTTCTATTAATTATATGTTTCTATGCTGCTGTACTTCTGTTGCTTCAAGATGCTTCCTTCTACTGCGCCACTAAGCAGCTAGTACACTTCCACGGGTGGCATTTCTCACTTGACAAAATGTATTGCTAATATGCACTTTCTCAAAAGACAATGACTTCCCCTTCTTGAAGGTCCTGGTATTTGGGTGGACTAACAGTATATAATTAAGTACAGGAAAACCGACAGGCAGGCTGGGAGGAGTGCTGCCAACGTTGTCAGAGCCCGATTATGTTTATGGGCAGTGTTCCCGAGAGTGTGCACCATGGCCACGTAAGCACTTGGGTATTTGTTGGCAACTGTCCACCTGCTTTGCACAGTGGCTTTTGGTTTTTTTTTTTCTCCCCATGGTATCCCCAGATAACCCACATGCCAGGATAGGTTAGGTATGTCAGCCTCCAAAACACGGTCCACTTCATAGCTGCTGTACATCTCTTGGATGCCAAAATCTTCAGCATGAACACACTGTTGGGAGAGCAGGAGCTGTTGTCAGAGACATCAGCCTGTAGTGTACCATCCCCTCCTGGTGCTGAGCCAAGGGCAGGTGAGATGGTCCAGCAAAGCCTAGAGCTTGGCACTTCTGGCTTTATGGAGGTTCACTGCAGCTTCCAACGGATGTTTGCCTGTTGGGACAGCTCCTGCACTTCATGGTCAGGGAATGCAAAAAAGCAGGATGAACCCATGCTTTTTTCACCTGTCCTTAGTCTTTCTGCCAAGCCCAGACCCCAGTGAAACAGCAGCGATAAACAGCAGCTGGCATAAGTAATGGCAATGGTCCTGTTTCTATCTAGTTTTTCCTTTGCTCTGAAGAGCAATCCCTCCCTCAGTAATTTCAGGGACGTAGTCCTGCAAACCAGAAGTGGCATTTTACTTGCTGCCTACTTAGAATACATTGAGGCACATCTCAAATGTTAAAAGGTCATATAAGTTTAAACAACTACACACAATAAATTGACACTTGGACCACAAAGCCATTGGCAAATGAGTTCAACTAGGGCCATTAGATCATGCTATTTTTAGCAGATATCAACAGGTTGTTCAGTAGTGTCCTAATATACTGCATTTTATCATCAGTATGTGTACTTTAATTCAACAGGATTCTTTGGGGAAGATGCAGTTAAAAAAAAGAAGAAATACCCTATGGACTAAACCATAAATATTAGGTGAATTGGAAACATTTTCTAGGTGACTACTGGAACATTTTAGAAATGCAAGACAGTTTCTGAACAATGGGCCATGCGGTAGTTGCTACATCGAGCACTGAAACTGCTCTGTCTTTGGTGAAATGTAGCAATGTTTTAATGAGATCTAGCAATATCAAGCCATTGATTTTGCCTCTCAACTCTGCAAGCTTTAAAGGGCAAAATCTTCCTACTCTTCTCATGCTCCCTTTTCTGTGTTGTTTCAAATTTAATTTCTTTTCCCTATAAAAAATTAATTATTTATAGGGAAAATAAATAGTTAAATGTCATGCACTGACTGGCAAGATTACACATTCAGTCCTGGATGGTGTAAATGCCTGATGTTATTTAACATGCGACCTTTCAAACTTTCTGACTTCATTATCACTGCTGATGGGTTTGAAATGATCCATCCTGATGGCTCCTGGCTGGAGAAATAGGGACTAGAATGCAGTAGATTAAAAAGAATATGCGTGTGTGTGTATGCATACATGTATAGCTGTTTAATAAATGTCTGGTGTTGCATTCAGCTATTTGCACAGAAGTTGGATGCAAGGCTGTTTTTAGGCTGCTGGGGTAGCTGCTTAGACATGTCAGGATCCGATACCACGTGTCCTAAAAATATATCGGGATCTTTTGCCCATCTGCCAGCATGAAAGTGCTGGGCATGGGCACACTGTTGGAGGTTGGGATCCCCCCAGGGGAAAGTAGATAAGCCTCTGTTCCAGCATCCTATTAGGTATAATGCCAGAAAATATAAATTATCAACATTGTCCTAGGCATGTATGTGTAGTGCTTTGCTTATTTTATGGTTGAGTTTGCTTTTTTTATTAACATTTTTTAAATGCACTGTGTTCAACAGTTCACACTTTTTTCTGGAGATTGATGGTTTTGAAAGCAATGCAACTCCAAATAATACGTCTCCCCCTGTGTTTTCAAAACCAATGGATTCAAATATTCGTCCATGGTAAGTTATAGATGCATATGCAATAGTCATACTGCAAATATATCTATTTTCTTTTCAGCAGCTACTCCTTATTTCTCCTTAGACTTCAGAGCTAAAATTTCACATGGCTTTTCTTAGCTGTTGGTCACTTCAAAGACAGAACTCCATTGGAGGTCAGTTGTTGCTAGATGACTTGTCTTTGAGTTTATCTACTGCTGTCATTTACACTGAATTAATCAGGCCTCAGATTTGAATAAATTTAAAATCAGTAGTCTTTTTTTTTTATCTTAGCCTCTTATTTGATACATTAGGACAAAGTCCACACACCTATTTGTGTATTTTCTACTGCATGAAGACCACCGCTTAATTTAGCAAACCCTATTCCCAGCTGTGTGCTGACATCCTCCCTCTATTGCTCATTAACAATCAAACAACATGAAGATGCTGAGTCTGAAATATTTAAAGGCAGCCAGTAATGCTGAGTGAATAGAGAAGAATTATGACTGGGAAGAATGCGCTTAATTTTTAGAAGTGTGGGGCACTAACAGCCAATAATTATGAATAAGGGAAATATGCATCATAGCTAGTATAAGCCCAGAATGGCTAAATGTCTTTGTGTCTGATGGATGTCTGGTCAGCTTTTTGGAGTTAGCTGACAGTCTTATTTTGGTTTCAGAGGAGAGGTATCCAAATTTCTCCCTCATTTAGAGAGTGACCTGCACAAGACACATACGCTTTGTCACCAGATTCTTCATGGCTTTCTGCAGAGAAGTGACAGACTGAATAAGAATGGACTCTGAGCTACCAGCTTTATTTCAAAGGGAAGGGAATATCTGCAGAGCAATGCTGAATCCTTGCATTACTGTCCATACATCTGTTTTGTCAAGAACTAATAGTTCAGGCTCCCTAAGTTATTAGCCTGAGGTAGTTCATCAAATCTGAACCTTATAGAAAAGAAAAATACAAGTAAGAAAAATTATAATAAATTAATTTTTAAGTCAGATCTTCTTTTAGGAATATCTGGAAATTATGTACAGCAATTACAAAATACTAATGCCATTGAAATCCTTTACATTTATTACCTAAATATGTATTTAGGGCCCAGTCCTCAGTTTCTTTTAGCTGAAGCTTCCATTCAAGTCAGCTGCAAAATGCTCTTGAGTTGCCTACAGTGTACTGTGTAGTAAATCTTTAGGTAAATCACTTCCATTGTGTGCTTGCAACCCAGGCACTGTTACTGATTTAGCACTTGTTTTGTGGCAGATGACAAATTAAGCATGTGAAAAGGAAGAATGTAAGCTTCAAGCATTCAGGATGATGCATAAAAAGCAGTGATCGTTAAAAAAAAATGAAAAAACTTCCCACAGTTTCAGGATCTGTAATGAAATAACATAGTAAAACACAAACCAGGTTGATTTCCTAATGATTTTTTAAATATAATAAAATCCTGTGGGTCTCTTCATTTTTACCACTCTTTAAAATTCATGGGCGAGATAAAATGGTAGAATTAAAAAGCACAGTGTCAGCTTAGACTAATTTCAGCTCTACTGTAGGTAATGCTTCCTAGTATTGACTGATTCTTCATGCAATTTGCCAAAATGTCTTCCAACATCTTCCTGACTTAGCGCTTAGCCCTTTTCTGGTTTTCTATAGTGCATCTGGAAATGGGGAAGATATGGATTCCCCACAGTCTCTTCAGGATGACGCGACTGAATATAGCCCTAATGTAGACAGTTGTTGGTGAGTGGAGATACAAAGTATTTCTTAGTACATTTTCAATGGATTAAGTCTATGATAGGGTAGATACTACCTATTTTGCCTGCCACGTTTTAGAAATAAGGTCATATGTGTGCATGCGTTTCCAATTCTTCAATAATTAAATTTTGAAATAAGCAACTCTAACCTCTGCTGTTCTCAAATCTCCTATTTAGTGTGAGGATTCTTCGTGTATAATGTCTGTTTCCTAGATGACAACAGAGGACCTAAACACCATGCACAACTAGGCATGAGCTAGGAGTATTTCTGATTGGGGGGAAAATATTAAATAATTCTTATTCCAGAATAATGTATGATCAGGAAAGTTGTGTAAGAAGATCCAAGGTTAAAAATTATCTTCTGCTGTGAGTGGGATGGGTGCAGCTGGAGTGCACCATCAGGTAAATTCAGGCACTGAAGTCAGCAAGTTGTGGACAGATCAGAGAAGAAGTATTTCTTAGCCTTTGTTTTAAATGAATGGATAAACTGGGAAAAAATGCAAAACAAAATACTTGAAAAATGTACATTATTATAAAAGCCCTCTCAATAGCCACTTATCTGCAAATAAGCAATCTGCAGAAACATTCTGAGAGATCCATGCCACAAGATATATGGAAGCGGGACAAGTATATCTAGTCTGGGGCAAGTAATTGTATTTCTTTTTCCTTTTATGTAGAAAATAAAATAAAACACAGTAAATTGAGTCAGCAATTTCATTATTATTTCTTATAATTCAGTGCTAACATATCACAAGGACCTGAGCAGACTAGTGCCCGGAAGAAGCTGAAAAAATACATATTTCGGGCAGTATCTGAGGGGAATGTAGAACAACTGCAATGTCTGCTTGCAGAGCTGAAGGAACGATCAAACGCATGTACAAACATGACTGTTACAGGTAAGCTGTGGAGTTACCTGAAGGAATATTATTAACTCTTCTGGCACCATATGTGTAGTCTAAAACTGGGAAATATCTCTGTGCAGCAGCTACTTGCCTGTAAATTTCCAGTCACTTGTTTGCAACGTAATGTATGTTGCATTTCCTAATTCTAAATGAAAACTTAAGGTATTCAATCAGCCACCTCCTTGCTGCCTCTGAGGGAACACTGGAGAGTATTTGTCTCCTACTTATGATACATGGAGGGTTTATCTGCGCTGTATTCCCATAGCCATACCTAAGCTAGCCTTCTGCACCACGAGACTCAAGGCTGATGTCTCTCTCCAAACTGCAGTCAAATCGCAGTATAGACAGGGCTTGCGATGTGTGCAGCATAGTAGAACAAGCAGAGAAGTTAAAGAGTTCTGGGTCTGTCTGGAGTTACCATGGCAGTGGGGTGTCCAAAAGAAAAAACAAGTGCATTGACTACCTTATTAATTAGTACCACATCTCTGCATGCATTGTTTCACCAAGTATACATAGCTCAAATACAAAGTGAATAGGATGGAGTAATTGTTTGGCAAATAATTTATGTTCATACACGTCCCTCAGGTCCCACCCCTATTAAACAAAAGATTAGAATTCTTCTTCATCCACTTTAATAAATAATGATGATCTAATCTCAAAATTCACTCTTGTAGACTATCTGATGAAAAAATTCACAGCTTCAGACACTGGCAAAACTTGTCTGATGAAAGCTCTGCTGAACATCAACCAAAACACAAATGAGATAGTGAATATGCTACTATCCTTTGCAGAAGAAAATGGTATTTTGGAGAGATTTATCAATGCAGCATACACAGAAGAGGCATATAAAGGTATTGCCATCTGATACCAATTTCAGGTATATGGTTAAATATACCATCCATAAAAGTAATGTTTTCTTCAAACATTCTAATGATGGTTTAAATTCCTAAAACTACTTTTATTCATTATCACTGGTGCTTTCCATTGTAAAACATCATTAATGTTTCATAATGTGCTCAAGACATTCAACCCTAAGTACCTCTGTCTGTTGTTTCAGGCCAGACAGCTCTAAATATTGCCATCGAAAGAAGACAATATGAAATAACTCAGAGCCTTATAGAAAAAGGAGCTGATGTCAATGCTCATGCCCAGGGTGTTTTCTTTAATCCCAAACATAAGCATGAAGGCTTTTATTTTGGTAAGTGGAAATGTGGTCTTTCTGGAAAAGATAGGAAGGAATACCCAAACAAGACAGTATGGAAGACAGGCAAGTGTGAATCATTACTGTAGCTAAACCTAGATTAGGAAACTTGCGTCACAAGATATAAAAATGGCATAGTACCCTTTGTAAAATTAACTTGCCAGAGTGCAATGTATTATAAACACTCAGAAATAGTTGTAAAACATTTACAAAAAAATTGTAACTGCTGAATGGCAAATAAAATGTAACAAATTTAGTTTTGAAGATTTTCTCCAAATAATGTTTTCATGCAAATTAAGCTTTTATAAAACAAGAGCTAAATTCAGTACAATCAATATGTAAATATGCTTTCATATATTAAGATGCTTAACACAGTCACTCTTTTATAATATGATTTGAATGCTTGTAATAAAACATGAACCATGTTACACTTTATAATTCTGTAGGTGAAACTGCACTGGCATTAGCTGCATGTACTAATCAACCAGACATAATTCAACTGTTAATGGACAATACCAGCACTAATATTACCTCTCAGGATTCAAGAGGAAACAATATCCTCCATGCATTAGTTACTGTGGCAGAGGACTTCAAAACCCAGAATGACTTTGTAATCAGAATGTATGATATGATTTTGTTGAAAAGTAAAGACAGAAATTTGGAAACAACAAAGAATAAGGAGGGTTTGACACCACTACAACTAGCTGCAAAAACTGGGAAATTAGAGGTGGGTATTATTCAGTAGTATCTAAGAGAAATTAAGTATGGAGAAAGAGTCAAGGCCCACTATGTACTCAGACGTTAGTGCTCTGACATGTAGTTTTCCATGCTGGTTATGCTGTACTATGTATCAGTAGTATTTGGTGAGCTAATTTTGTTAAAAATACAAGCAAATATTTCTATTGTAATGTTGCTTCTACCCTTCAAGGTTTCCCTCTAACAACCCTTCTTGTACAAAATACACATGCTGTTTAAAAGCAGCCTTGCAAACCTTTCTGTTGTACAGAAACTCAGAAATTCTGCATTTATTACAATACTATACCTACACAATATACAGTCTTTGAATAATTTCAGAAAATTCACTAGAACTGCTCTGTTATGCTGCTGTAGCATTTGGGTCTCATAAATCAACTGTACTGGGGTAAAGAATTGACAATGGGATAATTTAGAAAGTAACTGATAAAGTTAAAGGAAGATATAAATGTGAATGCATGGAAAATTGTGCTTTCATCATTTAGAAAAATGTCTGACAGAAAATCCAGAGGCATTAAAAATACTGTATTTATTTCCTAGAGGTCTGTCATCTCTAACACCACTTACTGAATAACAGATTTACAAATACATTGAATTGCACTACTGTAGAAAATGTGATGGGTAAAAGGTAGGGGTGTTGGCAAGCATGCATGTGTGCTTTCTCCTTTCCCATGAAGAACGCATCTGCTTACAAATGGTTCTGTTAATGTTTTAGATTCTGAAATACATCCTGAGCAGAGAGATAAGAGATAAGCCTAACAGGAGCCTGTCAAGAAAATTCACAGACTGGGCTTATGGTCCTGTTCAATCTTCTCTTTATGATCTGACAGAACTAGATACCACCGCAGACAATTCAGTGTTGGAAATTATTGTCTATAATACAAATATTGGTGTAAGTTACCTTTTTCTAAAATATATATGTGTTTTCTAGCAGTACACTCATTTCAGATATGTTAGCCTATACATTTGACTGAATTACTTGTAAAAGAGTAAACAGCAACTTTTGGTTCTCAGTTTTATATCAGGAGCAAGATTAATTTTCTATCTCTGTAGATTGTCAACTGTAAGTGAATATGCATTCAGCTCCTGAAACATGGACTAGGCATTTTGGGAGTGTTTTTTTCTACATTTGAAGCATTAATTTGCCTTACATAGGAACATAAATATGGCCCAGCTGGTCAGACCAAAGCTAGTGTCTTGTCTCCATGAAGTGGCCACTAGCAGCTGCCTAAGATAGCGCATGAGAACAGGGCAAGCAAACAGAAATACTTCACAAGAATACTCTGCCTTAAGTTACAAACTTAACAGGTGGGTATTTTAGGCATTCATGAATGTTACCTTTTCAAAGCCAGATTTTTACGTTTGCTAAATTCAAATACCGACATAAAACTTCTGTAGAAAGCAAGACCTGAAGTTCACATTACAGTTTTAGCTCAATCATAATTTACCAGAGTATGGCAGGTTATTCCAGCATGAGTCAGAGTTGTCCCATTGTATCTTGTCAGGTTAGGGTCTGACACAGATCTTTGCTCAAAGATGTGTTTCTAGATAAGTAAGGAGAGATACTGAATGAATACACAAAATATGTGCCTGAAATCATCTCAGTTTCCTTACAGATGGCAAGCTCAAATCTTAATTGGTTTTTTTTCTACAGAATCGTCATGAAATGCTGACTTTGGAGCCTCTGAATTCACTCCTGCGAATGAAATGGAAGAAGTTTGCACAGCACATGTTTTTTATGTCATGCTGTTTTTATTTCCTATACAATATAACATTAACATTAGTTTCCTACCACAGGCCTAATGAAAATGAAGTGAGTACAGCAATCTAATCTCACTGAATTTTACTGATTTAAAATGCAGTAGTATTTCCTGAATTGTATTTAAAATGCTAAACCAAAACCAGATATCAGAATATCGGGCTGTAGTGAGACCAGTTCTCCTATATCAGGTCTTGTATCTGGTAGGAAGAGGAGCAGTAATAGAGGAGATAATTGCATTTGCATTTTGTGAAAGTGACCCAAAATACAAATACATAATATAAAGACAGGTAGTTAAATTTCTAAAAGTGTGGAGACGGTATTTTGGTTTTAAGAAAGAAACTTCTCCTATTTAAAATATACACATTAGGGGGCTGATTCTGTGAATCCACCATGAAGAAAATTCTCACTGACAGGGAAGAAATTGTGTACCCAGAGAGCTACATACATGAGGCTTCCTGTTACTTTGCTTTTTACTCTTCAGGTATGGAACTCAGTCTCTCCTTTTGGACCTCTCTTACAGGCTCCACCTTATCCACTAGCTCTAACACGTGGTGTGGGATGGCTGCAGTTATCAGGACAGGTGATGGTTATGTTAGGAGCAATATTTTTAGCCATAAAAGAGGTAAGAATTTTTAATAACAAATACATAACAAAATAGGTAAAGAACTTTGCTAGACTTATGAATATGCTAATGATGATATTGGCAATACGTTTGGAATATCTTTGATAAGTGTAATTTCTAAAAGTCTTTGGCACAATACATCCCTTACTCAGAATGACCCTGGCTATATATTTGAATATAACTGTATTGCTCTGTGAAACAAGTATGAGGTTTTTTTCCTTTTAAATTCTCAAGACAGAGATTTGATATTTGTGCAACATCAATGTTGTCAAATTACTGGCTTTAAGGACACTGTTGAATTAGAACTTGTAATGGAAAAAAACCAGGGTATAATTTTTGCCATAGACTGTAAATAATTAAAACCAGTAAATTATGCCAGAGATGACAGAAATTTAAACTTTGAAGTTACAGCCCTATAAAAAGACTTTTAATTCCAGAAGATATGTCTTATCAGTAGACAGATTTTTTTTTTAGACCACCAACTTCAATTAAATTATTTTGAAAAATCAGTTTTGAGGCCTGTTTTCTCTTACTACCATTTCTGTATCTTATATATCTGTCTACATAGAGTGTAGCCATCTTTCTGCTTAGGCCCTCAGACCTGCAGTCAATTCTCTCTGATGCGTGGTTCCACTTTGCATTGTAAGTCTGTCATGTATATATTTAATACTACATATCAAACGCTTATATATCTCATGGTCACGGAGGATTCCTGTAGAGGATGCTCACTTTTTCTCTAGATTTTCAGGTTTTAGGGGGATGGATGTAATCTTACATGCAGCTTTACCGTAATACACACTAATGGTTCCATGGGTTGGTAACAATACTGGGGGTTGATGTGTACAGACTGGATTTTTTTCCAAAGTACAGTACTGTCTTTAGCATCTCCTGATGCTGTATCTCTTTAGAGCTGTATATAGAGAAATTTGTTTAGGAAACCTGGTTAAGAAACCAGATACAGTTTCACACTCCTTTTGACTCCTTCGGGAAGGAAAAATAGCATAAAGCTGATTCAGCTGGCTGATGGCCTAGATAAATCACAGATGATTCCCTCTCATTTCTAGCATATGATTGTAGGATCAATAAACAGAGAGGTGGCTTAACTCCACCTTTCTTCCTTCTCCTACAACCACACTGATATCGATCCCATGCTGCTAAGAATCTGGTTTACATCCTATCACAGCACACCATACCTTCTACTAGTGTCTTCCTTGTTTATGGAAAATCTGTAATGATTCTAACAATTCATTAAACTAAAGCTTGAATTAAATGTCCTCAAAGATACTATTAAGAATGCATTGACAAACTATTTTGGGGAGAGTAGTTCACTTAAAGTAAGCTTTAATAAATATAATCCTACTATGTTAATATACTTATACTACCTGTACTCATTGATTTTATGGTTAAACTATAATGGTAATGTTCATAGGGGAAAATAGAATGCAATATGAAATTAGAATTGAAGTATAAGAAGCAAAGACAACTTGTTTTTATATTTTTCCATTATGTTGTTGGCTTTGTGCTAGTAATTTCCCTTTTACATACATGTGTTTGTTTTTTAACAGTTTTATACAAGCTTTGCTGGTGATCTTCTCTGTCTTTTTGTACTTGTTTTCCTACAAAGAACACCTTGTGTGTCTTGTTTTGGCAATGGCCCTAGGATGGGCTAATATGCTCTATTTCACCAGAGGTTTCCAGTCCATGGGCATTTACAGTGTTATGATTCAAAAGGCAAGTTTGTTTTGTTTTGTTTTATCTGCCTTGTTATGATGCTTACTTGTTATGATACAATCCCAATCAAGCATATTCAGCAATTTAGATTTATTTTATAGTTCATACTGAAATTTCTTATTTTCAGTTTATACGTATTATTTCAGCAGAATATACTACGTAACTTCAATGGCAGAAACTAGTTTATATCTTAAAATTAACATTTTATTGTATTAAATATGTAAGTAACTTGTGTTTTTTCAGCTAATGTAGTTCTGCTATTTAATTGCATCATATGCTGTAATGCCTATATTGTACAGAGTTAGTCACCCTTGGACAACACACCAGGCTCTCAGTCATGAGATAAAAAATCAGACCTAAATCTTCTCTGGGTTTCTCACTGAGACTACAACTAGTTTGCTTAATGAAAGCAATCTGATACTTCAGTGTGTACCACACCTGTATCCCTGAAGAATTCATAAGCATAAAACTAGTTCTCAATTTTCATTTCTGATAAATATTTAATTTAATTTTTAGGTCATCCTGCAAGATGTGATAAAATTTTTAGTTGTCTATATCGTGTTTTTGCTGGGATTTGGCGTAGGTAAATATTACTGGAGAAAAGCACTGATGCTCTGTGTGAGTAAAAATTTTAGCATTATTATGAATAAGAACCCTACTGTCGTGATGAGAGCTCATGTTGGGATTTCTTCTGGATATTAAAAAGCCAAGTTTAGAGATTTAAACTGTCTAGAGACTATCTGAACAGATAAGTAATTTGGCTCTTTCTCAATTGCCTGCATTTTCATTTGGATGTGGGCTCTCTCTGCTTCCTGGTAATCTGTCGTCTAGCTGGTGCTGTGTATGTTGCTGGGCAGCTCTAGCTCTTTATTAAGCAGTGCGTTTTGAATTTTTTAGGATAAAATGCCAGGTATCCATAAAGCATTATTGTGATTAAAATTTTCTCATGCTTTCTTCTCAGCTCTTGCTGCATTGATTGAAACTTGCCAAGATGGCAGTGAATGCCATTCCAACAGCAGTCTGGGACCTGTTCTGATGGATCTTTTTAAGCTCACCCTAGGACTGGGTGATCTGGAGATCCAGCAAAATTCAAAGTATCCTGTACTATTTCTTCTGCTCCTCATAACTTATGTTGTGTTGACTTTTGTTCTTCTCTTGAACATGCTGATTGCATTAATGGGAGAAACAGTGGAAGATATTTCCAAAGAGAGTGAGCACATCTGGAAACTCCAGGTTTGTTTGTGAGTTAGTTTGCTTAGTGAAGTATAGCTGCACTGGCTACAATCTTTTGAGCTGTACCTATGGTTAACTTATCATACTGACAGAACGGGTTAGGTATTAAAAATGATAAGCTCCATTTGTATATGTGTACAAATAGTGGAAGTAAGTAATTTTAGAATTCACAATTATCCTAAAGGTAATCTTATGGCTCATATTTTCAACCTCCTGCACTGTCACATACCTTTATGACTTTCATTCCCCTTGATATGTCACCAGGAAGGTGTATTTCATTATCTGCCCAGAAATCTGTAACACAGCGTGCTCTGCTCTTCCGTCCCTTGAGTTTGAGCAATGCATGAGTTCATTCCAATTTCTCATACCTTATCAGAGCCTGGTCTTTCACCAAGGCTAGACAGCTCTGAGTCCCAAGCTGTCATCGAGAACACAGTCATAATTAGGGTTGGAGTTGCTTACTGTGGTGGGCAGCATCCCACTACAGGTTATATATATCCCCGTGGCAGGGTGTTGCATGAAGGTGTGCTAGCATTAAACCCTAAACACTGAGTTTAGAGTGAGATTTCTTGATTTTTCTCTGAGTATGCCTTCTGTGGTGGGTCTAACTCAAGAAAGCCGTGGACTCCCTATTTCCACATGCCAAATAAGTGGTATGCCACGTTATTTGCTGTTGTTGGAATCAGTGCTGGTTATGGATGGTGGATGAAGGCATGGCATGTTATAATGAAACATGGAGCCTGCAAACTGTATATGCTATGAAATCAGATAATTTTGAATATGGTTAACCATACTCATATTACTATTTATTGTTAATAGAGAGCCAGAACTATTTTGGAATTTGAAAAATTCTTACCAAAATGTTTGAGGAAAAAATTCCAACTGGGAGAACGGTGTAAAGTGGCTGAAAATGACACCAGGGTGTGTTTAAGGTAAAGCAAAGCTAGAATACTGTGCTATCAATTCTGCTCTGTATGTTTCTTCAAGGTTGCTTCTCCTCAGGTCTCTTGTAGAAATATTTCTACATCTCCACAAATTATTAGGTGTACAAAAATACAATTTGTTTTCTTCAGTTGTGAACAATTGTTTAAAAAATGGGAAAAAATATATAGGGTTTTTTATTTAGACAATTTTTTGGTAAGAAAACAGATTTTCAACTTCATATGTTTTTAATGGACAAGTTTCAAGTCTACTTGCAGTAAATGTCACTTTGTCATAATCTCCTTTGAATGTTAGTTTAAAAGTAATTATATTTAAATTGTTTGCTAATTGATGATTACCATATTAAAGAAAAGCTTATGCTGTTTTATGAAAAATACTTAAATATTTAAGGTGAGTTTCAAGACTGTACTCATAATGTGTGAAATCACAAAGTAGTCTTACTATTATTTATCTTCATATAGTACATAACACTGCAAAAGACATTCGGCCTTTTAGTACTAGCAAAGCAGGTGTTGATGGTAAAGTATGACAATCCCAAGAAGGGATAAAGAAATAAAAGGGGAAGTGCAGCCATGTAGCTGGGAGATAATGCATGCTAATAACACAACTTATATACAATATAAACAGGATTAATGAAGTGAAATGGACCGAGTGGAAAACACATGTTTCATTTATTAATGAAGATCCAGGGCCAACAGGTACTGCAAAATTTTATGACACCATATTTGTGAAATCGGGTTTTTTTGGAACTGCTTTGATATATAAATTCTCATAATCTAGATACTCAACCACACTTTTCTGCTAGGGAAACTCATGGCTAATATCGTAGGGGTGTTAAATTATTTTTAAAGATTTGGAGAGAAGGGTTGGTTATAAACTCTCGTTATTTATACCTTGGTGCCAAAACATGGTGCTTTCACCATTTCTTTATTTTTCTCTAAGCAGTTATGCTTGATTTAAGTTTTACATTCTATTATGGCATTTGAATGGTGTAAGACTGGAGAACTCTTTATTATACAGAAAATATTATTTTGAAAAAGTTGTCATGAAGTACATTTAGCCCTTAAATAGTTACACATAGCATCGCAAAATTTGGCAAAAAATTGGATTGATTCTACCTAACAATACTATAGTCTGTTGTTTTTAACCCTAGAACATTCATGTTTATGTTTTGCAATATATATTGGATGACAAATTGCCCCTTGTGAATGTTGACCAGGAAATTCTAGATACCCATCTGCTGACATTGTTGGAAGTGTAATAGAGAAATGACCTAACTTTGAGGTGTCAGCTGTCCTTCTGGCAGCAGGCATCAGAGTTTGATAGGGGCATATGAGGATCTGGGAGACTCGTTCTGAAGTTTGTTCTTGAGTCAATTAGCATTTATATTGCATAGTAGAATGAGCTCACTAATAATGAAAAGGGGCAGGCAGAAAAATTTCTGTATAAGATATGGTAGTAAACTGAAAACTTGCTGTTTAAATAAATGCATGTTTTTAAACAAAAAAAATAGATGTGCAACACTTTGGTCTTGCATAAACAGTTTCTACCATATCCTGTTTTGTTTATAATGCATTTTTTTTCAGATCCAAGCAAAGTTCAAGATAATTCAAGAACTAATAGCAAAACCACCCTGAATACGTTTGAAGAAATGGATGATTTGCCTGAAACTTCTGTTTAGTTGTGCTGTATTTGATATGTGGTTGTTCTGAAGGTTAAAAGCATCAGCAGCAGTGGATGCTGAAAGCTTTGTTGATGTTTTGGACAGCTGTAACCAGCTGGAACACAAACTTTCAGTGACATGGCCTGATGACTTTAACCCATTTAATCAGGGCAGCTAAGCTAAAATCAAACAGACTATTTCACTGGTTCAATTTTGAGCCTCTTGAAAACTGTTGCTGTCCAAGTCTGTGTGACGCTACTCAAACTTGGCTCTAGAATTTTTACTGGATAAAAAAGGTCAAATGTGAGATATTTCTTCCTTTTGTGGAAAACTAAGAACATCATGATCCCAATCCGCTGTCTTTTGGAATCTCTAACTCATGAGAAACATTTTGTACACTGAAAAAAGTTAAGTTCTTGTCGTGGAGAAAAGAAAGGCATTTCAATTCTGAAGACTACTAAATGAAGTATGTTATTTGAAATAACAATGTTCTGGATACATTTGAAGCTTTTGTATTGACTGTCAGTGTTATTGGAGGCTTGAATCCCTCAAGTTGGAGAAAGCCTCTTCAGGTCTCATTAGCTTTGCCTGATCTGTTTTCCTGTATGTAATCCCTAGGGTATAATGTGGTGTTTACTGCTTTTTATTTATTACTATGTATATACGCTTTCACATAAAATAACAGGGCAGAAACATAATGATGGACAATATTTCCAAGTTTGTTCCAGTCACAAGGTCTTCACTTTTCCTACTCAGCTCTTCCATACTGTTGCACCTTGCTGTGTGAAATAAGTTATCACGTTGGAAGTTCCTCCAGTTTAAAAGGAAATTAATCTCTGTATTCAACCACTTCAGAAAAATAAGAAGTCAGTATTTCTTCCCAAAATGAACAAAATAAGTTAAATACAATGCAATTGCAGACTTTTAAAGCGCTTTTTTTTTGTATTCAGAGGACTATGTAATGCATTTCTGTAGCACTTTTTATTTCGCTACCTGTGATGACCTAGTACCATGAATTATATTTTTAGTTTTCTGTTTTATGTGTGTATGTATAAAAAAAAAAGTTTTTTCTATGTACTTTTAAATTTCAATTAGTACATTACGTGTCTTCAGTGTCATGGGTTTTCATCACATGTATTCATTTGGTGCCTGTTTTAAAGGTGCTATTTAGGAAAAACTCAGGTGAATTCTGTTCTGCATTTGAATGGTAATATGAATTGCATTGGATTCTTACAGCTAAGCCTGCTGTGGGCAAAATGATCCAAAAGACTTTCTTAACACAGAAGAGAGCATGAAGGAACTCTCCAGCGGAAAGGATAGTGCAAAGCTATTTGCAGGGATGGTGGACATGGTTCTCGCTACCCAACCGGTCTTCTGTAGATGCCGTATCCTGTGTTTCCTACCACGTATGGCCTGGATGGATGGGATCAAATTAAAATCTTCAATTCAGTTATGTTTTTACAGGGCATAGGAATTTGAGGGGAAGGACATTAATGCTATTCAATAGACCAATGGGTAATATCTGAGCATTGTTTGGCTGCCTTAGTAGGATATGTGAATATGAGAAGAAAAATTCCTGTGGTCTTGGAATCTTTCATCTTTGCTGGTTAATTTTGCATTGAAACTGCCAACAAAGAATATTGCCTTAGGACTGTGCAGTTCTGTTTGGATTCAAGTGCTAGTTTTTGTACAAAAAAAAATACCTCTTCACATATACTCAGGAACCAGAATAAACTAGCCTGCACTGTACTCCATGTTGCTATGGGTAGACTTGTCACTGAAAACAAGTTCAGATATCTCTGTGCTGTACTGAGGTCATGCTGTAGGTGTAGCCATAAAACAGGGAAGGCACAAAAAAATGTAAGGAATGTGCTGTGCCACTGTCCAGGTGCAAAACTGTATGATAAAACTGAGGAAGAAGCTGCGGCGGTTGTTTCTAGAAGTTATTTGCTGAGAAAATAATCTCCTCTTGTAGCCACAGAACCCTGCCAGATCACACATACTGTCTCCTATCTCAAGGCTTTTATCAAGAACACTATGAATAATGACTAGAGCAGATAATTCTGTACTTTTTATACAATGTTTATTTAAATTAAAGAAATAAAACTTGTAATTCAATAAACATTCTGTCCTGTGTTTTTATTTTATTGCTGTAAGAGTTACACAAAATAGGAAAAAAGGTTTTTGGCTTAGTAGTAAATAAGGAAGACATCACTTTTCAAAAGATATAATTTGGGGGTTATCTAGACAACAAATCTTTCAGTAAATAGCTAATTATTGTATCCTTATGCAAAGTTCTTAATGTTTGTTCTGTCCCCAATTATTGTCAAATATGTTAACTTTAAATTCATTAAATCCCCACTTTTTTCTCTTTTTCAGCTACTATGACAGGCTTTATCTCTACAAATACAGAACAAGACAGTCTCAAAATTCTGAGAAGTCTCCTGGAATTCTTCTTAATTTCTATTCTGAAATATTCAGGTACGGTTTGTGCATTGTTCTTTATCAAAACCTGAGTAATTACCTCATCTTGCCGCCTTCATTGAAAACGTTTGGGGTACAACAGTTGATTAAAATTTTATTCGGAAAATGTTGTAAGGTGGATACACCTAGAGAGTTATAAAGCTGTAAACTTCTCTTGTCTCCGTTGCAATAGAAACTTTCTTCAAAAGTTTCCACAGGATAAGCACATCTTTTTCTTGAATTTGAATATTGCTCCAGTATGTTTCCAACTACTAGATACTTTCTAAATTCAACCTTTTTGTCTTTACTTCAAGCTGTTTCTGATTTAACATTAATTTAGTTTTGTAATACTTTAAATTTAAAAAGCTTTACATTTCATTTTAGCATATTTTTCTCAGAAATCATATGGTTTTAGCTTATTTTATATGTTCATAAGTATAAAAACAGAACAAATCCTAAGGCTTCCACTTCAGTGCAGTGGGTGTTAGTTGCGAATGCAGATAATACAAAATAATTTTAATATACATACCCTCACTCTGTTTCTCCCTATCTTTTTCTTTGTCTCTTATTTTGTATGTTTATCTGAAGAATTGGTTTCAAGGATCACCTTATTCAAAAAAGTGTTGGTTATTGTAGGTTTGGGGTTATAAAGTAGAAACGCTGTAATTTTTTTATACAATGTAGTTTTGTGGATGAGCATCTTTCTATATGACGCTGGATATAAGTTTTGTAGCTACTAACTCATATGTGGTACGTTGTTTAATCATTTTTATATAGTGTGAACTAATAAACTTCATAAAAATAATATTTATTCTTTGCATCTATAGTAATGTATTAGAACAAGTAAACAATCGTAATAAGCATGATGGCAGTATGTTTCATCTTAAAAGTGCTCAGCAATGTTAATTAAATTAAAATTGAAAATTAGATTCTGCATTTATTTATTCCATGAATTACTACTGAATGACACTGGATTTCAGAGAAGAAATCCAGTTTTTCTACTGAAAATCTGTAATAAGCTTTTAAGAAGTATTCTGGTCTAAGACTGAGGATCTGATGTGTTTTGCAGTAAGATTCACTTTTACTGTTTTTACAAAAGCTTGTTTCTTTTCATAATATGCAGCTTCGTTAATAAATGTTGGATAGACTGTACAGTCCCCTTTATATGCAATTACTTCTCCATCAAGAGTCAAAAATAGAGGATCACCATTGTTCAGTGGCTGCCAGTCTTGATCCTTAGAGAAAGAAAATAAATAGAACATATTTACTTTCAAGTTTTTGTATATTTCATGTGACTTCTCGAGTTTATGCTCAGTAATTATATTCTCTCCAGTTCATGGCAAAAGCTTTTAAAAGAATTCCTTTTAATCTTCAGTATGTAATTTCAGGTTTCTGGCCCTCATTTTCAGGCTTGTATAGAATTCAATGGTAAAGGTGAGCTAAAAGGAAACTGCATATGCTTACAATTGATTAAAAACAGACCCTTGTTTTATAATTCGAAATCAGATTTATATTTTAGAATATAAGCTACCCTATTGCCTTTCTCTTTTCTTTTTAGGTTCAAAAGTGATGTTAGATTCAGTGATTCCCAAGTCAGTTACTGAAATACTGTATGACCTTAGTGACAGAACTTACTACAGGGAAGGTCTAAAGTATTCAATAAAACCATTGGCAATATTGTAATTTTAAATATTACTATTAAAATATACTATGATGTAGCAGAAACAACACAGGAACACTTATAAAATGTCACAAATGGAAACTATTTTATAATTTACCTGCAGTTTAGGGTGAATAATAGCAATAACGTCATCATTCTTATTCCTGGGATAATCTACTTTTTCCATTATTTTAAAAACCTCAATTGTACATGGTGGAAATTCCTTTCCTAGAAAGAATAAATGTAATTTAATGTCAAAATGAACAACTGCCTGTTAAAAAGAACAATGCATTATTTATTCTTTTTAGAATGGCTTAAATCATTAGGTCATACCTCATCAAAACTTATACACTAGTGATTAGCTCACATATAAAAATGTCTAGCTCCAGATTTTTTGTCCTCTCAAAGCCAAGTTGCAGAAAGATGGTCCAGTCAGGTATTGTAGCATATGAAGCCCAGATCTAAATTTGGTGCTGAAATGTGACTTTTCACTGTATACTTAAAAAGATATATTTTGTAGATGAAGAAATCAATGAAAGGCCTGTGTTTGAGAGTGCTGCACAACACAGAATGGTATCAGTGCTATTTAATCTTTACCATTCCAGCGCAATAATGGAGATTCTTACATGCACAATTATATTATTTTCCTTCTACCACCACAAAAAGCCCACTGACAAAATGTACTCTTGAAGAATTTTAAACATCTATTTTTGTCAGGATGTATTTCAGATGGTACAGAGGTATAACAAAATCTTACAAAATTTATTGACTTTAATTTTAGATAATAATGCATAGAAGGCGTGTAAATTAAACACTTCTTTCTTAGCATTAATTTACATATGTTCCCCATGTACATACTACTATACAAATATCATGTATTTCAGATTCTCAAAGC